AGGAAGGGAGTCCTCCTCTGAGAAGGGACGTCCCTGGGATCCACCCTTTGGCACCCTCCCTGCTGGAGCTTGTCCTCTCAGTGCTGCAGTCCTCCCCCTGCACGCACAGGAGACCTCACTCAGCACAGGGAGCAGGGCAGTCCCAGTGGGGGAAACTGAGGCACGGTGAGCACTGCCCTGCTCCCTGTGCTGAGTGAGGTCTCCTGTGCGTGCAGGGGGAGGACTGCAGCACTGAGAGGACAAGCTCCAGCAGGGAGGGTGCCAAAGGGTGGATCCCAGGGACGTCCCTTCTCAGAGGAGGACTCCCTTCCTAAGCCAGAGCTTCCCCTCCTCCCCCACTTCCCTCCCTCCCTCCAGCCACCGTCCCTTTCCTGAGGACTGTTGCTGGGTCCACTCTCCCCGCACCGGCTCTCAGCCCGTCCTGTTTCCCCCGCAGAGGGGGTGGGGAGGCTCTGAGGGGGAGGGCAGCTGCTGCGTCTGTTCTGCTGCTCGCAGGGCACCCGCCCTGGCACTGAGGCAGGGTTCAAGGCTACCCAGAGCCTGCGAGCCCTTCAGGCAGCACCGGAGCAGATGGGGGCACCTAGTCCCTGCTGCCTGGCACGTCAGCCTCTGTCTGGGAGCAGGGCCCTGACATGGGCTCCCAGGCACAGGGACCCCTTCCTGCCATCCCATTAGCTGTGGGGCTGTCAGGATGCAGCTGCCCACCACCCCCAGCTCAGAGAACTTTCCCCATCAGAGCCGAGCCATGGAAAGGTCGTGGGGTTCATGTTCCCCAGCACCTCCCCGATACCCTTTCAGGAACTGAGACCTTAGTTCCCCCTCCCTTGGAAAGGGACCTAGCTCAGAAGAGAGTCTACTCGGGAGGGCGGCTCCTATCCAACCCTGCACCCATGCCAGCCGGCCATTTTTCCACCCAGGCCCCCTTCCAGGCCCTTTAACTGCCCCCGGAGAGCGGTGATCTCCCCCTGGCGGGAACTCTCAGGACCAGAGGGGGTAGGGATGAGGGGCAGGGAGAGAGTCTCCCCCTAACTGTCCCAGCAGACGGCCACAGCCTGACGGGCACAGACGTTGGCAGGACATGCAGATCATGGCACTGAGGCTTGGGCGCTGCCCCCAACTCCCCTCTGCCCAGGCTGGCACCAAGAGCAGGGACACGGTGGCAGCAACAGGCAGAGACCCAGCAGAACTTGTCTCCTGGCTCAGGGCTGTCCCAAGACCCCGTTCTCAGGCTGGGAAAAGACATTTGCCCCTTCGCTTCATCCCACTCCTTGCCTGACTTTCGCTGTGGCCACTTTCGGTAGGTCCTACTTTATCCCTCCTTCCCATGGGTGAGCTCCCAGGTTACAGGGGATGGCATGACTGAAACTGGCTTTTCATGAGGGGAGACTAATCAGCTGACGCCAGACCCTGGCTGGCTGTCTCTGCTGACGGGCTGGCAATCAGCAGGGAGCATGTGACCGAGTGCCCCTGGGCTCCATTTCGGGCTGGACGGTGCATCTTGGCGTCGGCGGGCACTTAGGCTCTGTGCCGGCATCAGAGGGGCAAATGTCTTTTCCCAGCCTGAGAACGGGGTCTTGGGACAGCCCTGAGCCAGGAGACAAGTTCTGCTGGGTCTCTGCCTGTTGCTGCCACCGTGTCCCTGCTCTTGGTGCCAGCCTGGGCAGAGGGGAGTTGGGGGCAGCGCCCAAGCCTCAGTGCCATGATCTGCATGTCCTGCCAACGTCTGTGCCCGTCAGGCTGTGGCCGTCTGCTGGGACAGTTAGAGGGAGCCGCCCCTCCCCACTCTGGCTCTGGGCAGAGACTCTCTCCCTGCCCCCCATCACTCCCCCCTATGGTTCTGAGAGTTCCCGCCAGGGGGAGATCACCGCTCTCCGGGGGCAGTTAAAGGGCCTGGAAGGGGGCCTGGGTGGAAAAATGGCCGGCTGGCATGGGTGCAGGGTTGGATAGGAGCCGCCCTCCCGGGTAGACTCCCTTCTGAGCCAGCCCCCTTTCCAAGGGAGGGGGAACTAAGGTCTCAGTTCCTGCAAGGGTATTGGGGAGGTGCTGGGGAACATGAACCCCACGACCTTTCTGAGAGTTCCCGCCAGGGGGAGATCACCGCTCTCCGGGGGCAGTTAAAGGGCCTGGAAGGGGGCCTGCCGCCCTCCTGAGTAGACTCTCTTCTGAGCTGGCTCCCTTTCCAAGGGAGGGGGCAGTAAGGTCTGGGTTCCTGATTGCCCCTGCAAGGGTATCGGGGAGGTGCTGGGGAACATGAACCCCACGACCTTTCCATGGCTCGGCTCTGATGGGGAAAGTTCTCTGAGCTGGGGTGGGTGGGCAGGTGGATGGGCCGCTGCATCCTGACAGCCCCACAGCTAATGGGATGGCAGGAAGGGGTCCCTGTGCCTGGGAGCCCATGTCAGGGCCCTGCTCCCAGACAGAGGCTGATGTGCCAGGCAGCAGGGACTAGGTGCCCCCATCTGCTCTGGTGATGCCTGAAGGGCTCGCAGGCTCTGGGTAGCCTTGAACCCTGCCTCAGTGCCAGGGCGGGTGCCCTGCGAGCAGCAGAACAGACGCAGCAGCTGCCCTCCCCCTCAGAGCCTCCCCACCCCCTCTGCGGGGGAAACAGGACGGGCTGAGAGCCGGTGCGGGGAGAGTGGACCCAGCAACAGTCCTCAGGAAAGGGACGGTGGCTGGAGGGAGGGAGGCAAGTGGGGGAGGAGGGGAAGCTCTGGCTTAGGAAGGGAGCCTTCCTCTGAGAAGGGACGTCCCTGGGAGCCGCCCTTTGGCACCCTCCCCACTGGGGCTTGTCCTCTCAGTGCTGCAGTCCTCCCCCTGCACGCACAGGAGACCTCACTCAGCACAGGGAGCAGGGCAGTCCCTGAGGGGAAACTGAGGGAAACTGAGGCACAGTGAGCACCAACCACTTAACAGCAGAGTGGGGGTAGGACCCAGGAACCACCACCCCCCTGTCCTCCCTCCCCTAACACCACGGCTTGCTCACTAGCTCCCTCTGTTCCCCAGCCCTGGGCACCCCTCCCTGGCCGGCAGGTCTCTGCTGCCCCCTAGTGGGACGGAGAGCACAGCTCAAAGACACCCTGTGCTGTCAAGCTGGGAGCTAATTAGAGAGACCACCAGGCTGCACAGCATTGACCTGGGCCACAGCTCAGAACAGGGCCCCCTTGTGTTCGGGGCTGCACAGAGTGAGAGAAACTCCTGGCTCCAAAGTGCTCACGATCTAACTAGACAAAGGACATCTAATCTCCCTTGAGCAGCTGTAGGGAGCCTGGGGAAGAGGCAGGTATTGAAACCAGATCTCCTGGGTCGCAGCCCAGTGCATCAGCCGCAAGCCCAGCCTGCACCTGTCACACTCGACTGGGCCATGACCGTGACTGCTGGGGCAGGAGCGTGGTCTGTAACTAGATTTCACTAATCAAAAGCCAAACAAAATCTCCTGGGTCCCTACAACAGTCTTACCTTGGACTCACAGACAGGCCCTTGAAATCTCTGCTCTATCTTGCCACCCAGACAAACTGGACTTAGTGCTAATGGTCACTTACACCAAAAATCACAGGCTGCTCCCAGTCACTTACCCTGGATCAATTGGTACTCTAGATTTTACACCAGCGTCAGTACCCTGTAATGAACTATCTAAAGATTTGTTAACTAGGAAAGAGAAAGAAGAGTGTTATTTGCCGTTAAAGCAAAGAAAACATGCATCTTCCAATCCGTTACCATCTAAATCCCAAGAGTGACTGAGCTTCCATTTCAAAGTGTCTTTCAGGGTGGATCCAAGGGCTCATTGGCTTCAATGTAAAGTCTTTGGCCCTTCAGAATTCAAAAAGTTGGAAACATTTCCCATGGCTTTGTTTTATTTTCTCTATTCGGCTTCGAAGCCCACATGACCAGCTACCTGACATGTAGCCTTCTCCAAGTCTGATCACCACTAAGGAAACCTTCCTATTGTGAGGTCATGGCCCTTCTCATTTTAATTGTCCTGGATGGACAGGAGGGGGTGGATTTCAGGATCTGAGTTCACAAGCTCAGATCAAACCTTTTCAAAGGTATAAAGTAAAACATACGTTGTTCCCTCTAGCATGGAATGCTGCCATAGCAAGCCAGATGAATGCAGGCAGAAACTCACAAGCATTTCCCAGAGTCTAAACACTCAAAAACTAATCCCTGTTTGGACCAAACTTCCATACAGGCGTGGTCGGGGCTCCAGCTATTAGATTGCAGCACGTAGCTAACTCCTGCAGCCTGTGCAAAAGCTGGCATTTAGCCTGACACAGTCGCACCCGTTACCTTAGCACTGGTATTTCTGTGCAACAAATGGTGTCTGTGGCAGTTAGCTAAGGAGGGGGCAGACACCTGGCGAGCTGCATCCAGGGACAGAAAGGAACAGAAGGAGTGTTTAGATCATCCAGTCTGACACAGACACTCTTGGCAGTGTTCCCTGTAACTGATCATTAGGGTGACCACCCAAGAGAGATACACGTGACACCCAGCTGATTAGCAGAGCAGAGCCACTCACAGTGTTGTGTTTCTATTGGTGGTGCACATCAGCACATGCCAAAGTGTGCATATTAAAATGTATTGCACTCATGGAGGGAAATAATTAGAGGGAACATTGCTCCCCGGTAGCCAACCCGGAGCTTCCTGCGTAGAATTCCATGGCAAATGCCCCAGGCTGTCTCTGCACTCAGTTCTTCTCCCTACTGGCCTCTTCTTCCCCTCCCCATGGTCCCCTGCCCCAGTGCTTCCAAGCTGCTTGTTTGGGGGCAGCCTGCCCAGGCTCAGCTCACAAGGCACCTCCTGATCCCAATGAGAAAGAGGGAATCGTAGCTGATGGCAGCAGTAGTGGCAAGAGGCCAGGATCAGCCCAGATTAGCCTCCTCTCCCCATCAAAGGAACCCACGCCTGCTGGAGATGAGGTCGACTTCCCTTGGACAGGTTTTGTGCAGACATGAGCACTGTGAGCAGCTGGCCCCTGCTCGACTAACTGCGAGTACCTTACCCAGAGGGCTGTGGGGGTGGCAGCGCAGCCCAGTGGATTGGGACTCGGCCGAGCAGGGCTCCATTCAAATCTCAGCCGCCAGATCAGTGGGTGGTCTCAGGTAAGTCGTTTCCTACTGTCCGTGACTCGGTTTCCCCTCTCAAACCGTGTCTCTCTTAGTTGTTTTGATTCAGCGTGTTTAAGGGCAGGGGGTGGCCAGCTGTGCAGCGACTTGTTCCGCTGGTGCAGCTCTTCGCTGGGGTGCTAGCACAATGCCACGAACAAGAGAAACGCTCATTCCCATCCTGTAGGGACCCAAAGCGGCTGGCAAACCAACTAATCCCACAGGGGTCAGAGCCAAAAGGTGGGGCTGTTGCAGGGGACCCCCTGTGGTGACAAAGCAACACAGGATCCGTGACAGCCAGGAATAGGACCCAGGAGTCCTGACCTCCTCCACCCCCAACACCTCCCTTCTCAGGGCATGTGCCAGCCTCTCCCTGATAACCATTGGGGCAAATCCCACCTGGAGGCCAGGGTGTGATTTCTGTTGGTAGCACTCGGAGAGCCTGGGATAGACTGGCCCACCTGCAAAGAGCTGCGAGGTGGATGGATGTTGTGTAAAACGTTAGGTAACAATATAGACCCAGTGTGAGAAAGGGAAACAGAGGCAAGAGGAGAAATGTATTTGTTCAGGGTAGGGATGTTAGCTAGCGGGTAATAGAATAGTCGACTAACCACGTGAATTCTTAGGGGTTAGTGGACTATTCTATAGTCCCTGGGGGCGAGCCAGCAGCAAGTGCACTCCTACCCTCCTCCTGATACAGAGGCAGCACAGCAGGGTGGCAGCAGCCCCTGTCCGCAGGGGGTCCGAGCTCCCCACAGACAGAGACTACTGGAGTGTTAGAGAGTGGGGGAGGCCACCAGGACAGGGGGGTCCCAGAAGACGGGGGCTGCTTTGTGGAAGCCTCCACTGCCCCCCTTACATCCGCTCTGATAGAGCGGGAGTGGGTGTCAGGCTGCACTGCAGGCACAATACCATGGGGAACCAGCTTTTAAACCAGCTCCTCCCAACACCAGTTCTTGGTTCCCCTCCTTGCTTCCTCTGATACACAGGCAGTAAAGGGGGGGGAATGTGAGTAGTCAACTAAATTCATTTATTGGTTAATCGACTAGTTGGCAACCTTAAACTAGAGATGGAGTCTAGTAATCTAGAACAGTGGTAAGACTAGGTCACCACCTGATGCTCTAACCACTAGGAAATGCTTCCCCTAGAGGAGAAGAAGCTGGAAGTTAACATATCCTGGAGCAACCGGTGTGTAAGAAGCCCTGGGCTGATTTCTTTCATGTAGTTTACATCAGCAGACACTGCTGGGAGGGGCAAATGGAGTCACGTAACACCTCACTTTCCCCCTTCAACGGGACGGCACCCGACATCATCATACTGCTCATCGGGCTGCCGGCCAACGGCTTCATTATCTGGCTGACAGGGTGGCGGCTGCGGTGCCGGGGCCTGTCCGTCTTCATCCTGAGCCTGGCCAGCTCCGACTTCCTCTTCCTCTGCGTCATGGTCATGCAGATCATGGAGACCCTGCAGGGTGACAACTGGGTGCTGGGTGCCTTCATGTGCCGCCTGCGCCACTTCCTCTTGGATTTAAGCTACCACTGCAGCCTCTTCCTGCTGGCTGCCCTCAGCGTGGACCGCTGCCTGCTGGTGCTGCTGCCCCTGTGGTACCGCTGCCATCGCCCCCTGCGGCTCTCCACCTACATCTGCCTGGGCACCTGGGTGGCGGCTTCCCTGCTCAGCATCAAAGGCTTCATCTTCCCCGACGTCATCCTGTTTGAGGACGGGGTACTCGCCTGCTACAACGACCGGGGGAAGTACGAGTGGCCCTTGCGCTTGCTGGAGGTGCTGGTGGAGGGATTCTTCCCCTTTGTTGTCATGGTGACCACCCACGCTGTCACCTTGGCCCGCACCTTGCGGCGCCACACCCGGGCCCCCAGCCAGTTCTACCGCATTGTGGCTGCCACCCTGACCGTCTACGTGCTGCTCAACCTCCCGTTCCAGATCACCCAGCTGCTCTTCCTGGTCGCCTTGGAGAACCAGGAGCTCTACAGTCGCCTCATCCCCTTCCTTATCTACACCGGCTACCTGATCAACCTCAACACTAGCATCAACCCCTACATCTACCTCTTCTTTGGCTCCAACTTCTGCACAGGCAGCAGCCACCTCAAGACCTCCTCCCTTGCCTCAGCCCTCACAGAGGACCTGGGGAAGAGCCCCGGACACACACCTGAGGCGTCTTTCTCTGCCTAGCTCAGACGACTCTACTCTCCCTGCATGGCCCAGCCCTTGCTCTGGCACAGCTCCAGTCACCAACCGAGGGGTTGCTGGCTCCCCTGACGGGCTCTGGCTGCATGGAGGAGGAATGTGCCTGATGCAGGTTCACTAATTCAAGGCCTTGTGTAAATGGGTGCAAGGTGGAAGATACCAGGGATGTCAGATCAGTGCCAAGGCCCTGTTTGCCCAGCCTAGTCACGCTCCTGTGGGGACAGATTCTCAGTAGGTGCAAACCGGCCCAGCTCCCTGCAGATTGGGGCCTGTGAAGCTCCCAGAATATCTGGCCCTAGGCAGGGCAATGCAAACACTGCCATGGCTGCAGCTGCCAACCCACAGGGCCAGCAGACACTGCGGCAAAGGGGCCACTGCCGCTTTGGTTCTTTCTGGGTTTAGCACCCTGACGTTAGTTGTGGCTCCAAGGTCATGGCGTTTTAATGCAGTGGCCTTCTGCTCACATCTGCCAGAGACCCAGCGCTGAGGGTACCTCTGCCCCCCTAGCTCTGCCTCCTTGGGCACCTGCAGCCTGACCGTTCTGACCTGCAGAAAGCAGGCCCGGACTCCTCTTAGAGCACGAGTTTGGGACACAGAAGCTGCAGCCCGGGGACACAAAAGGCAGGTCAGAATTGAGGCCATGGGGCTGTCCTGGGGATCCCCTTTTCCCCACACACACCAGAGGACAGGTACTGCTCCCTCTATCATCAAGGTCTCCATTCGGTGGGGGTATGGGACAATAGCCCCTCAGAAGTTTGAACCCCTGGATTTCATACTGAGATGTTGTAGGGATAACATCTTAAAGTATTAAAAATGATTCCCCCAAGTGGAAGTGACTCCCCATAATTTGTTCCCCACAACTTAAAGTCTAAGTAGCATAAGTTTGTTAAGTAGCATAAGCATATAAGTGTTTAGATTTATTATTATTATTTGTTAAGATTGTTAAATGTTTAGATTTATTATTACTGCCCCTTTAGAATATAATTTGTTAGGAATGTAATATTAGGTCATGTAACTTAGAACTGTTAAGAATATAATACTATGTAGCCAGAAACAGCTCCCCTCTCTGTGTCCCAGGGCAAGCTCAAACTTAATGTTACACAATTGACGCCCTTTCTCTTCAAAGCATTGTGAAGCAATTAACCCTAATCCCAATGTGAAACATTGTAACTATAACAGTAACTAACTCAGCACTCAGAGAGAGAATGTTTTAAGAAATGCCACCCAAAAACTTTTGTGACTTTTTGTAACTACAACTCTTGTATACGTAAAGTTATTATTATACAAAATACTGTATGTGAAACATTAATTAGGGAATGTATGTAAAAGAGAGAGTGCTTGGACGATGAATGAATGGTTTTGAGAGGTGCCAGCCTGAGAATGCAGCAACAAAGGGCTGAAGAAGGCGTCAGGTGCCAGTGCAACCAAAAGGTGTCAAGTGGAGAGAATCAAGTACTAGAGGTCCACCCTATGAGATCACTGACAAGCACCTGACAGCCACCCTGGAAATCAGCATGATGCAGCAATTCCTATAGACTGGCATAGGAAGAAATTCCTATAAGAACTGGACTAAAAGACTATGGAGTCAGAGTCCAAGGTTCTGCTGCCAGCCTACCAGGAGCTTCAGATGCGCATCTGATCAGGACTTCGCTCCCCACTACCATCACTTGTGTACAGAATACCTGGCCAGTATTCTCTCACAAGCAACTTCCAGGCTGGTAACTATAACAAATACACAGAACTGGAATGAATGGATGAATGATTGAATGAGTGTTTATATATATATAAGTGTATAAGGGTTAAGTAGTGATAGGAATAAGTAGTTAAACAACATTGTTTACGTCTATCTTTTCTTTATTCTTTATTCTTATCTTTACAATAAATGTGGCTTTTTGCCTTATCCCCCTCATAAGATCCTGCTTGCTTTTATTGGTACAACAATGTCTGCTTAAAACTGCATGCTCTGGATCTTGAAATGAACAGAGTTTGAGCTGCTTCAGCTTTGCCTTTGGGGCAGGGAATTTGTTATAAAGAGAGGGAAGCAGATGATTAAGAATAATCAATAACTGGTCATTCAAACAATTGAAGGATTCTTAGAACACAATGAAAATACTGCCAGGTACTTATTAGAGGAATAAAAAGAGTTGAAATGAGTGTTGTGCTGCTGGGATCTGAATTTGGACTGGACTGTTAAACTTATAAGTTCTTGAAAAAGGGGTTAATAGTAAAGTGGCAAAATTTGCAAATTCAAAATTGCTTGAAACGGTTAAGTCCAAAACGGACTGCAAAGAGTTACAAAGGGATCTCACAAAACTGGATGTTTGGGCAACACAAGGGCAGATGGGATTCAGTGTTGATAAATGCAAAGTAATGCACATGGCAAAATATAACCCCAACTCTAGAGATAAAAAATGATGGAGTCTAAAATAGCTGCTACCATTCAAGAAAGAGATCTTGGAATCCTTGCGGATAGCTCCCTGAAAACATCTGCTCAATGTGTAGTTGCAGTCTAAAAACAAACAGAATGTTGGGAATCATTAGAAAGGAATAGATAAAAAGGCAGAAAATATCATAGCTCCTCTATATAAAATCGTGGTACGCCCACATCTTGAATACAGTATGCAGATTTGGCCACCCCATCAAAAAAAAGATATGCTGGATTTGGAAAAGGTACTGTTGGGATTTTGTGGTATCCAATAATAACCAAATGAGTCAGATGCCGGGCAGAATCAAGGGTCTTCGATACTTCATTCAATTCAATTCAACAAGACTATATTCAATGTGCACAAAGGGAGAGCCCCTGGTAAAAAAATCAGCCAGAGTCCCTTGAACAAGTAGCCCCTACCCTTGCTATTTTTATAGCACATGGCAGTTACATAGTAAGTTACATAACACAAACCTGTGGCCAATCATATTTAACCTTTCCATATATGAATTTGTTCATCACATGCTTCTACTTCTTCACTCCACATGTTGAACTCACCCCTCTCCCCTTGGCCTTTTCTGGACTGTTCCTAGGGTGGTGAGCCACAGCATGCTTCTTTATGCATACATGCCTTCTAAATCACATTTTGTTTTAAATTAACACAAGCATACCCTTCAGCTCCCCCATTTGGTTTTGGGGCTAAGAACAATTCTTAGACCCCGCTAACACTAACTACTTTTTTGTGTTTATTAGGAGCAATAATTGACCTTATCAACACTTAATTAACTGCAATTTTGGTAACAGAATTAAATAATACATTTAACCTTTAATACATAATGATATCTACAATAATAATAATAATAATAATAATAATAATAAGTGCCCATACACAGTGTGAGAATGCAACCCAAATCCATCCCCATGGAATCTCTGTTCTCACAATAGCAAACCTTTCCATCCACTGAATCACTGTAATTGCCTTACCACTTCTTTCATAATATCTTCCACAATAGGAAGAACGGGATGTTTAAGCCAGGCTTGCCTGCAAAAGCTAATCACATACATCTACACCAAGTAATGGAGTCCTTCCTCACTGTTATATCATCCATTAAATTAAACATTACATGCACTATTAAGTCAGGTCCCAACATTTGAGATAGGGCTTGTCCTGACTCCAGTTTTCCCATACGCAAAACCCATCCTCCCAGGATGGAATATTGTTCTCATGGGAAAGCTATATAGTTATCTCCAGCCCTTATTACATACCCAGAATTCTGGATGCTGCATAGGTGTCCACGATGTTAGAAAAAAAACCTGCCCCCCCCCCCCCCCCCCCAGTCAAAAAGTTTGGCCAGGCCGCTCTTGCTATAGTGGGCTGCAGTACTCCTTGGGAGAAACTGGCCGCACCCTTCCTGCGTACCATTGCCTTTAGAAAAAGGGAAGGTGTGAAAAGGGGAAAATAGCCTTGAACTCTCCCACCCATCACCTAGGCATGAGAGCTGCAGGGCTTACCTGGTCGCATGAAACCTACACGGTTTCAGCCCAACCCCTGGGACTCAGACCCCCACTTGGTGACCATTGGGCTGTATATGGTAATATGCAAGTGAAGGAAAGCGATGTGCAGACTTGGGGATAAATACCCATCACACAGTTCGCTCGAGGAAGTCTTCGTAACACAC